AACCACTTGTGATTGATAATAACACTGATGATATTTATGCCATTGAAGCTTGTAAAGAGAAACCTATTTTATTTCCTCTCAGCGCAATTACTAGAGCTATGTCAAAGATACAACAACCATCCCTGTCTCCTGTTGAGTTAGTTGATGACAATGATTTGGGGTTGAATATGTTGTTTAGTGACGCTCTGCGCCCAGGATCATTAACACTGACTCCCCCCGGTCATCAACCTAGTCAGGACACAACTGACGTTAAATTTCTAACTCATGATGATTTAATCAAGGATCAGTTTGTTGATCAGTCACTGGAAAGACTGAGAGATATTGCAGTTACTGAGAGTGAAGCAAAGGATCTCGATAATTGTTACTATTATAGTAACGGTGTACTGATGGAGAAAAATACATGTAAGTTGTCAACTGATAGTGTTTCCACCACAGTCAAGCATCTCGTAGTGTTACCAGTTACATTTCGTGAACAAGCCATTGATTTTGCTCACAATAGTCCCATAGGAGGACATTTGGGTGTCAAGAAGACACTCGGTAAACTGGCAAAACATTTTACTTGGCCAAAGATGAAGGAAACAGTAGCTGATCATGTGCGACGTTGCCACGTGTGTCAAGTGACAGGCAAGCCAGCGCACACACCTCCATCTACACCTCTCACTACGTTCATTAGTAGCAAAGTTCAGTTCATCTGGACTAGACATTGTTCAGATTTGTTCAAAAGGTTGAAGCATCTGCTTTCCTCTGCTCCAGTGTTGAGTCCTAATTTCAATCTTCCCTTCTTTTTACATATAGATGCGAGTTATGCAGTGGGTGCTGTGCTGCTCCAACAGTCAACATCCACTGATATTCTCCATCCTATATGTTACTATTCATCTAAGCTCAAACGACACCAGAAAAAATATGCTCTAGCTCTTGTGGTGTCCTTGGAACATTTTGACGTGTATTTCGGCACTTCCCCATTTAAAATTAACGTTTTTTCAGACCAAAATCCACTCACTTACATAAACACTATGAGAGTAAAAATGCTAGGATCATGAGGTGGGCTCTCAGAATCCAACCTTATTCTGTTAGTATAAAACACATAAGTAGTCATTGTAATGTAATTGCTGACGTTCTGTCACGTCCTTAATAATTATCAGTTACATTAAATTAACATAGTTTTAATGCCCAAATACCTTTTGTTACTTGCTATGTCAAATTCAGTAGAGTAACTTAATCTCTCCAGCCCATATTAACTATGTATACTCATGTCATGTTTAATTATGTTATTTATATATTTACAGTAGTGATGATATGTGTGTGAGGAGGAGACATAAGCTGAGTGTTGAGTGGGTAGTGTGGTGTGGGCGATGTACTGTGTGACGCAACACTGTCCTGCCGCAGAACCCCCCACTCACTACACACCTTAAGCTGTTTCATACTCAGATGTCCATACTGCATAGCATTCCACAACCACTACTTAAGAGTGGCCTGCGCTATCCTGTCTCTACACTGATGTACATAACCACGAGTATGCAGAGATACGATACTGTGTACTGCCCTAGTACTAGGGGCATATCCTAGTGACAGCCGCTGTGAAATTGTAGAGGTGCTTGGCACAAGAGAGACTCTGATTAGTGTTTATATTAAATTGTATTGATATGAGTAATCGGTAATAATGTGAAAGACATTAATGTAACTCCTAGTGCGACCGTTTGTCGTGTTGGGGGGGTGTTGCAACCCCTGAAAGGGTTGCAATATATATATAATGTATATTACCTTTTCTTATAATTTTATATTGCTTATATTTGCGATAATAGCTAAATCGTAAATATATTGCTTTATATTGTTATTTGATGTAGTTATGTTGTTAGGTAGGATGTAACATATTATGTGCTCAGTTCAAGTCTTGATTGTCTAACTACTGTAATTATCGCTGTTTGCTTGTTATATTGCCGGCTTCTTGCTGGGCGACTGCAACCCACGGAGCTATCACGTGGTCGAGGGGGGGTGTCCTCACCTCGCCTGAAGTATTCAGTCTGCTCTAGACTCGCTTGGTGGTTGGACAGATTGTCTGTCTCATTATTCTTGTTAGTTCTGTAGAACTCTGTTCACAGAACCTTGTATAGACTTAGTGATTTTCGACGTTGTACTGAGGTTGTGTGTCTCATAGACACTCTGAGCATCTCAGGTCCTGAGCTATAGCTTCTGACTTAACTTGTACTGGTTTCTGTGTATTATCACAGTCGGGGATTTTCTTATGCTGAACTTTGATTCAGTAGTATGGGAGTTTTGTAACTTTTGTGGAGGATCTGCTGATGGTCCCTACTTAGTGTAGTTATATTATCTCCTTGTTCCTGATTCTGTGTCGCAGTTGCTTGTGGTATTGCTATTGGGTTTAGCATTCTTTTTGTTGTTCAAGCAGATTGTTCTGGTTGACAGTCGGTTAAGAAGTTAGTTTATGAGAGGACTTTGTCAGTCACTTGTTTAAGTCTAGTCGAGTCGTGAGACATAGCGAACTACTTAGAGCACTTACACGCATACACAAACTTGTGCATATTTGTAATATCTTATTAAATGTTAATGTACCAGACGGTACTTAAGAATTATAAATGTGATATGTGCTTTCAGCACAATAATATTGAACTCGAGAGATGTGATATTATTTTGATTACTGTGATTAATTTAATTTAATTTAATTTGATAATATACCTCTAGACTTAATAAATTTATTAAATTTTAATTTCTCTAGTTAGTAGCCTAACAGTTGTAATCCTGAAGCACTATTGAATCATACTGAATTCTAATGGATAATTGGACAAGGATACTGACTACTTGTTACGAAAACCCAGTAACAGGCTGGATGCTAGAAGGGCAGTCCTTTCTAGTATTCACTGGAGATCTCTAAGCTTTTAGAATCGCGTTTTTTGTAACATGTTGTACCAAGGGTCTTCATGGTAATGTTGTACCAAGGGTCTTCATGGTAATGTTGTACCAAGGGTCTTCATGGTAATGTTGTACCAAGAGTCTTCATGGTAATGTTGTACCAAGGGTCTTCATGGTAATGTTGTACCAAGGGTCTTCATGGTAATGTTGTACCAAGGGTCTTCATGGTAATGTTGTACCAAGAGTCTTCATGGTAATGTTGTACCAAGGGTCTTCATGGTAATGTTGTACCAAGGGTCTTCATGGTAAATGTGTACCAAGGGTCTTCATGGTAATGTTGTACCAAGGGTCTTCATGGTAATGTTGTACCAAGAGTCTTCATGGTAATGTTGTACCAAGGGTCTTCATGGTAATGCACCAAGGGTCTTCATGGTAATGTTGTACCAAGGGCCTTCATGGTAATGTTGTACCACGGGTCTTTATGGTAATGTTGTACCAAGGGTTTCATGGTTTGTTGTACCAAGGGTCTTCAGGTAATGTTGTACCAAGGGTCTCATGGTAATGTTGTACCAAGGGTCTTCATGGTAATGTTGTACCAAGGGTCTTCATGGTAATGTTGTACCAAGGGTCTTCATGGTAATGTTGTACCAAGGGTCTTCATGGTAATGTTGTACCAAGGGTCTCATGGTAATGTTGTACCAAGGGTCTTCATGTAATGTTGTATCAAGGGTCTTCATGGTAATGTTGTACCAAGGGTCTTCATGGTAATGTTGTACCAAGGGTCTTCATGTTATTGTTGTACCAAGAGTCTTCATGGTAATGTTGTACCAAGGGTCTTCATGGTAATGTACCAAGGGTCTTCATGGTAATGTTGTACCAAGGGTCTTCATGGTAATGTTGTACCAAGGGTCTTCATGGTAATGTTGTACCAAGAGTCTTCATGGTAATGTTGTACCAAGGGTCTTCATGGTAATGTTGTACCAAGAGTCTTCATGGTAATGTTGTACTAAGGGTCTTCATGGTAATGTTGTACCAAGAGTCTTCATGGTAATGTTGTACCAAGGGTCTTCATGGTAATGTTGTACCAAGGGTCTTCATGGTAATGTTGTACCAAGAGTCTTCATGGTAATGTACCAAGGGTCTTCATGGTAATGTTGTACCAAGAGTCTTCATGGTAATGTTGTACCAAGGGTCTTCATGGTAATGTTGTACCAAGGGTCTTCATGGTAATGTTGTACCAAGTCTTCATGGTAATGTTGTACCAAGGGTCTTCATGGTAATGTTGTACCAAGGGTCTTCATGGAAAATGTTGTACCAAGAGTCTTCATGGTAATGTTGTACCAAGGGTCTTCATGGTAATGTTGTACCAAGAGTCTTCGTGGTAATGTTGTACCAAGGGTCTTCATGGTAATGTTTTACCAAGGGTCTTCATGGTAATGTTGTACCAAGAGTCTTCATGGTAATGTTGTACCAAGGGTCTTCATGGTAATGTTGTACCAAGGGTCTTCATGGTAATGTTGTACCAAGAGTCTTCATGGTAATTTTGTACCAAGGGTCTTCATGGTAATGTTGTACCAAGGGTCTTCATGGTATGTTGTTACCAAGAGTCTTCATGGTAATGTCGTACCAAGGGTCTTCATGGTAATGTTGTACCAAGGGTCTTCATGGTAATGTTGTACCAAGAGTCTTCATGGTAATGTACCAAGAGTTCATGGTAATGTTGTACCAAGAGTCTTCGTGTTAATGTTGTACCAAGAGTCTTGATGTTCGTGTTGTATTAAGTGTATTGATATTAATGTTGTACCAGTTGTTAATGTGGCACCAAGAGTCTTGATGCCAATGCACAAAGTCTTGATGTTATTGTACCAAGTCGAGATGTAAATTCTGTACAAAGAACATTGTTAATGAACCAAGAGTTTTGTTAATGTTGTACCAAGAGAAAACTGATGCATTATGTTTGGAATAAGCAACTCAATACGTATATGCAAAGTAAGTCAAAGTAACTTTTCAATATGTAACATTTTCTAGTCCTCTTATTATTAATGATGGTATTAGTATTATTATTAACTCGAATTAAAAATAATAATAATCAAAACAATTTAGAAAGGAAGTTAAAACAGTCACCTTCATACCTTGCAATTTGTAATCAAAACAGCCAAAGTTATCACAGAAGACGACCAGTTGACAAATTACGTTATAGGAGATGTCCAAGGTGTAGTTCGCTGTAGAAAAAAGTTTAATTATTTTTTTTATTATTTACAAAGCACTAAAACTGGTTATTTAACACTTTAAACATATTGCATTTCTGACCACAGCATCATAATTCACATTCTCATCATTAACTCGCAACTGTCGTGGTCAATTTATTTTCGTGTTATATAAATCATAATCACAAAGCAAGTGCAAATATTCGAAGTGTTTTTTTCGCATTCCATATTCCATATTCATACTTTGTTCCATGTCATCGAGGGTAAATATCAAGAAATTTAAACGAAGGGAGAAAATATACTCACCATTTATGCCAAAAAGATACGTTCTATGTCATCGGCTGTAAATTCCAGCAAATTTAGACGAAAAGGAAACTACACCCACCATTTATGCCAAAAAGATACTAGTTCTTGGGCAAACAAGCGCCCTATTTAGAGAGTGGCACTCTTCCCAGAGAAGAGGCCCTTTACATGTTGGCACAAGCCACTCACACCTCACCACCGACCTACGTTGACCCAGTTTGTAAGGTGGAAGTCGTTATTAATTCTAATTCACTTATGTTTTATAGTGCCATCATACTGGCATTGTTCCAACTGAGTATTTTAACTTCGCTATAATTCTGTACTGTATTAAATTAGCTAGCCACTGTGCAACGTATTTTCTTTTCCAAATTCTTTAATACGCCTTAGCCTATAAATTCCCGTGTACATATTCACCACTTGATTTTTGTTAGACTCAGATATTCCAGGATCTTTCACTATATATTTTTATTAACCTACCACTGATTTTTCTAGGAATTATCATATTCCACATGATTGTCATTTTCTCATCTACCAGTTCTACCTCACCATCGTCATTACTAGACTCATCATCAACACTAAACCTGTCCTCTTCGCCTTCAGTTTCATCATTGCGTGTTCCTTTTTCACAAATGTCTACTTATCCACTGGTGTTATAAATTCCATACCTGGAGAGGGTTTCGAGGGTGAACGTCACCTCGACCCGGTCTCTGACATGGCCTCGCGATGGGTCATGGCCTGATCAACCAGGCTGTTACTGCTGGCCGCACGTAGACTGACTAACGAACCACACCCCAGCTGGGAGGCAGTTGAGCAGTCTTGGGCCCTTGACACTTAGCGTGCTCGTGCTTTTCATTGGGGAATGTTGTATCGTCTGCCGGGTCTTGTAGTTTCGTAGGGAGTGATTTTGTTTGTCCTCTAGAGCATCCAAAACCTTGTCATAGTGATCCAGTAGTTGGGACAGGCAGGAGTGGCCTGCTCTAAACCCATATTGCCCTGGGTTGCGTAACTGATGGGTATATAGATGGGTTGCGATCTTCTTAGAACCCTTTCAAAGATTTTTTTATGATATGGGACGTTAGCGCTATTGGTCTGTAATTCTTTGATATTGATTTACTGCCCCCTTTGTGAAATGGGGCTATGTCTGTTGTTTTAAGTGGCTGTAGGATGACCCCTGTGTCCATGCTTCCTCTCCATAGAATGCTAAAGGCACGTGGCAAGGGCCATATACCGAGAGAGGACTTTAATCACTAGGGATTAAATTATTCTTGACTGGTGTACAGGTGATAAGCAACCTAACATAAAAAAAACTGTCATAACGCTAAAGAAGCTCACATGAAAATAAGGAGTCAACAAAATACACTAGAAAACCCAGATACACTACGAAGGGTACATTACATTATGAAGGCCATGTAACGAGGGAGGAGTATACATGCCATTCTGAAGTCAACACAACACACTACGAAGTACAAAGGACATTGAAACGTCCACGTGAACTATGCAGATCATTTACTTCACCTGTAGGGCAATGTTCATTGTTTGAGGTTCCGAAGGTAGACGGAGTGTCATCACTGGTTGCTTTCTTGTTGATAAACTCGAGGTAAGTGTAGTATCCGTTGCTGCAGTTCGAGCGTATCTTCCTGGCTTTTTAGTAAGAGGATAGAGGGGCAGTTTAGGCTAGGTTTGGTTAAGTCTATTGATTCTAGTAGCTTGGATAGTTTTAAAAATAAGTTAGACAAATATACGAGTGGAAAGGATGGGTCTGAGGACTTTAGTTCACTTAGATACGATCATATTTAGTCAGAATAAGTGTTTTTAAGTTTGATTTAATTAACTGACAACTACGTATAGAACCCTGAAAGACGAAAAAAAGTGCATAGATCACACCGGTTCTAAGATAAGTATATATTTGCTAAAAAAAAAAAAAAAAGCCAAACTTGAGGTCTTCTGGATCAACTGAAACATGAAGGTTCATTTCAAGTTTCAAAACGCAGTTTTTCAGGTGTCTGTTAATCATACAGTGGTTCACCTCAAGTAAAAAAAATATGCAAAAATGACCCACAATAAAATAACAGGATTAGCAAGAGAGAAAAACCTTTGAGGCCAAATTTGTTAGAAAAAAAAAAGCCACATTGAACGACTAAACAAAATTTCAAAACTGAATTAAACCTGAATGCCTTCCATCTTCCCCCCACCCACAGGCGCTGTATAATCCCTACGGACTTATCTCTCCCCATGATAATAATTCAAAGCTTAAGCATCCTAGTCTAAAACCCGAGTGAAAATATCGTACCCACCTTGAGTCTCGTTTTCCTTGGGAGGATTGAGTAACTTGTCCAGATTAGCCTGCAGGAAGATAATGATATTAATAATAATAATAATAATAATAATAATAATAAAATAATAATATATTTGAGACCAAGAATAATATTTATTTGGAACCACTAAATCCATAAGGGTCATACAAGGTAAAAAAATAAAAAGACTTAAGATGAAAGAATGGTAAAGAGGAATGGAGGGTAATAAGAATGGGACTGGTAAAATGACTGGAGAGAATGGTAAGGAAAAGCAGCAGTTACGAAGGATGATAATAACATTTTTTATGTCAACATGATAGAATGTGTGTAGGGAGATTCTTAACATTTAAGTGTGCATGCAGAAAGTTCATGATTATGCAGAGTCAAGAACAAAAAAGCACAATACCCTGACTGGAACAGTACACAAATAACCCGCACATAGGAAAGAGGAGCTTACGACGACGCTTCGGTCTAACTTAGACCATTTACAGTGTGACTTTGTAAATGGTCCAAGTCGGACCGAAACGTCGTCGTAAGCTCCTCTTTCCTATGTGTGGGTTTTTTGTGTATTATACAGTGTGTTTAGTGGAAGACAATGGGAAGGTTGCTTAATGAAATTATTAAATGTCACTTACATTAAACTAACATTGAAAAATAAAAAAATCTAAACTAGTTCTGGTTAACTGTAAATATTGTTATTAATTACTATATTGTGAAGGTATTCAGGGAAACCAGTTAGCTGGACTCGAGTCCTGGAGGTGGGAATTACAGTGCCTGCATCCTAAAGGTAGGGTTTGGGATATTTGCTGTTTGGAGGAACATCTGAACTGTCGTATCTGCGTGCTTCTAGCAAGACAGTGATAGTGTGAATAATGGTCATTTTTTTTTTTTTTGGGGGGGGGGGAGGGTCACCCTGCCTCGGTGGGAGATGGCCAGCGTGTTAAAAATTATTATATTATTATTATTATTTAGGGGATCATAAATTTCCTTAGGAATAGGAGGTAATCAGATCCAATACCTCTTATCAAGAGCCCTTTAACAGCATCAGGGCGCCCCTTTTGAAGAACATTAACTGTCTACCAGAGAAGAAAACAAGTGCTCGGTCACCTTAGTAAAATTTTCGAAGTCATATGTAAACTGAATTCCTAGAGTTGTATTTTTGAAGGTCTTTTTAGGAATTGCATTTGTTACATTCGCAGCTTGTCTCTTGAGACGCCGCAAGATGTCTTCAGGAGTCGTGTCTAGTTTTATTTCCTTTTTATTTCCGAGTTTGCTGTCTTCTTTCCTCCCTGACCTTTCTTCCTTGCTTGGTTTACCCTCGTTTATAATCTCAGGATTTTCTGCTTCCCTGTGTAAAGTGAGAGTCTGAGTTCTGTTGTCCACTGGGGGATTATCTGTAGGTCCAAACATCTGGTCTCCCGCTGGTACCACTACATCAGGGGCAGCTCTTATCTTGCGTGATGCCGAGGCATTTCCACCCACTGCTTTAGTGGTCATGTAGGCTGCAGTGACTGCACTGGTCTCATCACTCGAGAACGTACTTGAGTCATCTACATTGTTAAAAATATATTTATTAGTTATATACACTATACATAATTGCTAATGAGATTTAAAGCTTATCAATAACACTAGAGTCATTAAGACTACACCTAATCTTTTCAACACTAGACAAGAATACTTTAATCCCTAGAATAAGGATTATAGTCTATAGGATTAAAGTGTATTTCCCTTAACACCTCGTTGTTAATGATATCTGAAATCTTGGTAATAGTTCTGTCAGGGGACTCTAGCCTCTATTGAGACAACTTGGTGAATTTTTCCCCGGAGGTGATCTCTAACCAGATGGTATGGGGGGTTGTGGAGGCCTTTATAAACACAGGGGACTAGGACCGGTAAGCCACCAGACACCCTCAGTCCAGTGACCAAAAACTCCAGCTGCCGGTCATCATATGAGTGAGACTTGCGTCAGGAAACACGTGTCCTGTTTCCTGACAGACCTAACCTAAGAGAGGACTTGGTGAGAAGCCTTGGTCAGGCAAACAGCTAAGATCTTAGTACAAGAATTTGGTGGCTTCATTCTGTTTGGGACAGCCGAGGTTTAGGAACCTAGAATCAGGAACTAGTATTTATTTTGCTTCTTGAGAAAGTTAGGAACTTTTGAGAATTTCAGCCTTAAAAATAAATTTTCGTTACTCCAATATAGAATTAAATGTCAGATGTTTTCCACGAGGAAGAGGGCTTAAATAATACTCTACCTGGAGAACCGCCCTGCATGTTGGAGTCTTGAAGCTCAGGAGGTACGTAATCCTGGTAGTTACATGCTGCAAGACACGGTACTTGTTAATAACACCTGTAAGTAGCAATGAATGTGATGACTGTAATAAGTACGACAAATATCTACCATCCTCACACTGTTAGCTACCCTCACATTATTATCTGCCCTCACACTGTTATCAACCCCAATAAGCGCAAGGTCATAAAGATTGGGGAAAGGGCAAGAAAACCGGATACGGAGTATAAACTTGGGGACAGATGTTGCAGACTTCACCTAGGGGTGAGCACAGACAATAGCATACCACCAGAGGCTTATATCAATCGAACCTCTACAGCCAGTGTTCGTCTGGTAAATCCAAGACTGACCTTCAGGAATCTCAACAGTCATTCTAGACTCTTTATACAACATTTATCAGGCCCTTCTTGGAATATGCAGCACCAGTATGGAACCCACATCTGAGAGGAAACATGTTAAGTAACTGAATAAAGTACAGAGGTACGCAGCGAGGATTGTTCCTGAGCTAACTGATATGAGCAGTGAGAAAAGGCTAACAGAATTGAATCTAACGACATCAAAGGACAGGAAAAAAAACATTGGAGACATGGTAACAACATACAAAATACTCAGGGAACTGATAAGGTAGACAGGGACAGAATATTTGAGAGGAGAGAAACGGGAACTCGGAGACACAGCTGGAATTTAAAGACACATATGTGCCACAGGGATGTCAGGAAGTATACCTTCAGTCTCAGAGTGATCGGGCAGTGAAGTGATTTCGGTGAGGAAGTGGTGGAGGCAGGCTCCATACACAGATTTAAGTGCAGGTACGGTAGAGCTCACATAGCTAGAAGTGCATCTGGCAAGCGGCAAGATTAGATGCAGCACCAGGAGCTAGGACTCAACGCTCGCAATCATTATATGCGCGTGCGTATAGGCAAGTACACACACACACATACGGGCGCCTGGCAAACCTGAGAATAGCGTTCCGATACCTTAGTAAGGAATCGTTCAAGACACTGTACACTGTACATAAGGCCCATACTGGAGTATGCAGCACCAGTTTGGAATCCACACGTGGTCAAACACGTCAAGAAATTAGAGAAAGTGCAAAGGTTTGCAACAAGGCTAGTTCCGGAGCTCAGGGGTATGTCCTACGAAGAAAGGTTAAGGCAAATCGGACTGACGACATTGGAGGACAGGCGGGCCAGGGGAGACATGATAACGACACACAAAATACTGCGTGGAATAGATAAGGTAGACAGAGACAGGTTGTTCCATAGAGGGGACACAGAAACAAGGGGTCACAATTGGAAGCTGAAGACTCAGACGAGTCAGAGGTATGTTAGGAAGTATTTCTTCAGTCATAGAGTCGTCAGGAAGTGGAATAGCCTAACAAGTAATGTAGTGGGGGCTGGAACCATACATAGCTTTAAGACGAGGTATGACAAAGCTCTGGAAGCAGAGAGAGGACCTAGTAGCGATCAGTGAAGAGGCGGGGCCAAGAGCTGAGTCTCGACCCCTGCAACCACAATTAAGTGAATACAATTAGGTGAGTATATATACACACACACACACACACACACTGTAGAGACGCAAAAGCTAAGTGCAAAAACATAAAAGACATAGGAAACAGACCACCAGAGAATAGGGTAGGAAGCAGAAGAGGCAGAAATAAATACGTATGAGTAAGAGAGAGAGAGAGGTTTAACTACATTTTGAGAATACATAGCATCAGAAGCCAAAGTTGATGTACAACCACATCAGAAGGAAGAAAACCGTGAAAGATCAAGTAATAAGACTGAAGAAGGAAGGAGGTGAGCTCACTAGGAATGATCAAGAAGTCTGTGAGGAGCTGAACAAGAAATATAGGGAAGTATTCTTTATGGAATCAGGAACATTGCCAGAGTCAAAGAGTTAACGCACCAACGACTACTGGACACAATACAAACAACGAGTGAAGTGATTACTGAGTGAGCTAGATACCTCGAAGGCAATGGGACCAGACAACATCTCCACGTAGGTTTTGCGAGAGGGAAGAAGAGAGATTGCGTGAACTACTAGCAGTGATCAACAAATCGAATGAAACAGGGCTGCCAAAGGTCCAAAAAAATAACGAATGTCATTCCAATATTTTAAAAAGGGGACCGATATGAAACCTGCATTTGATAAACTATATAAAGAAGCTGGACAAAGTGATATGAACTATGAGAGGCTAGAGGAGCAGTCTGATGAAACTAATGGGCAGAAGAACCAGACTTGATATGATTACGATTTACAAAATACTCAGAGGAATTGACAGGGTGGACATGGAGAGAGTTTTTGAGAGGCAGGTCTCAGGTACATGAGGTCACAACTGAGAGTTAAAAACACAGATGTTACAAAACACGTCTTTAGCCTCAAAGGGGTCAGGAAGTGGAATGCCCTAGACAACGAAGTGGTAAAAGCAGAATCCATACACAGCTTTAAGGAAAGGTACGATAGGACTCATCCAGTTAGGAGTGAAACCAGTAACCGCTAGCAGAGGCGGGGTCAGGAGTTGTGAATACACACACATACACACGTGATGGGACTCCCTAAGTTGGAAAACACACTTACAGTTCAGGACATTTAATAGAGAAAATGTTTCGCCACTAATATCACTATACCATTTTTTCACTCACTAAATATTTTCTCCATTTCATCCTCCACTTGTACAAAAGCTCCGTAAACAGGATGGTCATGTAGCTTGTCCTTCCTGGGCAGCGGGTTGAGGTTACACAGTGTCACTGCTGGGAACAACACTGTCCTCTCCTCCTCCACCTGTGTGCCAGATATAGATGGTAACTGCAGGGTGGTGGGAGACATGGATGGTAACTGTAAGGTGGTGGGAGACATGGATGGTAACTGTAAGGTGGTGGGAGACATGGATGGTAACTGCAGGGTGGTGGGAGACATGGATGGTAACTGTAAGGTGGTGGGAGACATGGATGGTAACTGTAAGGTGGTGGGAGACATGGATGGTAACTGCAGGGTGGTGGGAGACATGGATGGTAAACTGCAGGGTGGTGGGAGACATGGATGGTAACTGCAGGGTGGTGGGAGACATGGATGGTAACTGTAAGGTGGTGGGAGACATGGATGGTAACTGCAGGGTGGTGGGAGACATGGATGGTAACTGCAGGGTGGTGGGAGACATGGATGGTAACTGCAGGGTGGTGGGAGACATGGATGGTAACTGCAGGGTGGTGGGAGACATGGATGGTAACTGTAAGGTGGTGGGAGACATGGATGGTAACTGCAGGGTTGTGGGAGACATGGATGGTAACTGCAGGGTGGTGGGAGACATGGATGGTAACTGTAAGGTGGTGGGAGACATGGATGGTAACTGCAGGGTGGTGGGAGACATGGATGGTAACTGCAGGGTGGTGGGAGACATGGATGGTAACTGTAAGGTGGTGGGAGACATGGATGGTAACTGTAAGGTGGTGGGAGACATGGATGGTAACTGCAGGGTGGTGGGAGACATGGATGGTAACTGCAGGGTGGTGGGAGACATGGATGGTAACTGCAGGGTGGTGGGAGACATGGATGGTAACTGTAAGGTGGTGGGAGACATGGATGGTAACTGCAGGGTGGTGGGAGACATGGATGGTAACTGCAGGGTGGTGGGAGACATGGATGGTAACTGCAGGGTGGTGGGAGACATGGATGGTAACTGCAGGGTGGTGGGAGACATGGATGGTAACTGTTAAGGTGGTGGGAGACATGGATGGTAACTGCAGGGTTGTGGGAGACTGGATGGTAACTGCAGGGTGGTGGGGAGCATGGATGGTAACTGTAAGGTGGTGGGAGACATGGATGGTAACTGCAGGGTGGTGGGAGACATGGATGGTAACTGCAGGGTGGTGGGAGACATGGATGGTAACTGTAAGGTGGTGGGAGACATGGATGGTAACTGCAGGGTGGTGGGAGACATGGATGGTAACTGTAAGGTGGTGGGAGACATGGATGGTAACTGCAGGGTGGTGGGAGACATGGATGGTAACTAAAGGGTGGTGGGAGACATGGATGGTAACTGCAGGGGTGGGAGACATGGATGGTAACTGTAAGGTGGTGGGAGACATGGATGGTAACTGCAGGATGATGGGAGACATGGATGGTAACTGCAGGATGATGGGAGACATGGATGGTAACTGCAGGATGATGGGAGACATGGATGGTAACTGCAGGATGGTGGGAGACATGGATGGTAACTGCAGGATGATGGGAGACATGGATGGTAACTACAGGATGATGGGAGACATGGATGGTACCTGCAGGATGGTGGAAGACATGGATGGTAACTACAGGATGATGGGAGACATGGATGGTAACTGCAGGATGGTGGGAGACATGGATGGTAACTGCAGGATGATGGGAGACATGGATGGTAACTGCAGGATGGTGGGAGACATTTATGGTAACTGCAGGATTATGGGAGACATGGATGGTAACTACAGGATGGTGGGAGACATGGATGGTAACTGCAGGATGGTGGGAGACATGGATGGTAACTGCAGGATGATGGGAGACATGGATGGTAACTGCAGGGTGGTGGGAGACATGGATGGTAACTGCAGGATGGTGGGAGACATGGATGGTAACTACAGGATGGTGGGAGACATGGACGGTAACTGCAGGATGATGGGAGACATGGATAATAACTGCAGGATGGTGGGAGACATGGATGGTAACTGCAGGATGATGGGAGACATGGATGGTAACTGCAGGGTGGTGGGAGACATGGATGGTAACTGCAGGGTGGTGGGAGACATGGATGGTAACTGCAGGGTGGTGGGAGACATGGATGGTAACTGCAGGATGGTGGGAGACATGGATGGTAAATGCAGAATGGTGGGAGAAATGGATGGTAACTGCAGGATGATGGGAGACATGGATGGTAACTGCAGGATGGTGGGAGACATGGATGGTAACTGCAGGATGATGGGAGACATGGATGGTAACTGCAGGATGGTGGGAGACATGGATGGTAACTGCAGGATGGTGGAAGACATGGATGGTAACTGCAGGATGGTGGGAGACATGGATGGTAACTGCAGGATGATGGGAGACATGGATGGTAACTGCAGGATGATGGGAGACATGGATGGTAACTGCAGGATGGTGGGAGACATGGATGGTAACTGCAGGATGGTGGAAGACATGGATGGTAACTGCAGGATGGTGGGAGACATGGATGGTAACTGCAGGATGGTGGGAGACATGGATGGTAACTGCAGGATGGTGGGAGACATGGATCGTAACTACAGGATGATGGGAGACATGGATGGTAACTGCAGGATGATGGGAGACATGGATGGTAAATGCAGAATGGTGGGAGAAATGGATGGTAACTGCAGGATGATGGGAGACATGGATGGTAAATGCAGAATGGTGGGAGAAATGGATGGTAACTGCAGGATGATGGGAGACATGGATGGTAAATGCAGAATGGTGGGAGAAATGGATGGTAACTGCAGGATGATGGGAGACATGGATGGTAAATGCAGAATGGTGGGAGAAATGGATGGTAACTACAGGATGATGGGAGACATGGATGGTAACTACAGGATGATGGGAGACATGGATGGTAACTGCAGGATGATGGGAGACATGGATGGTAACTGCAGGATGATGGGAGACATGGATGGTAACTGCAGGATGGTGGGAGACATGGATGGTAACTGCAGGATGATGGGAGACATGGATGGTAACTGCAGGATGATGGGAGACATGGATGGTAACTGCAGGATGATGGGAGACATGGATGGTAACTGCAGGATGATGGGAGACATGGATGGTAACTGCAGGATGATGGGAGACATGGATGGTAACTGCAGGATGATGGGGAGACATGGATGGTAACTGCAGGATGATGGGAGACATGGATGGTAACTGCAGGATGATGGGAGACATGGATGGTAACTGCAGGATGATGGGAGACATGGATGGTAACTGCAGGATGATGGGAGACATGGATGGTAACTGCAGGATGATGGGAGACATGGATGGTAACTGCAGGATGATGGGAGACATGGATGGTAACTGCAGGATGGTGGAAACTGAAGCTCTACTGACGTTGTTTTTTTTCTACTCTCCTCTTCATGCAAGTATAAAATAAGAAATCCTTATCTTTAAAAGAATTTCCAGTGAAGACGAAGACATATTTATCTTAAGCGTTTGTTAGTTATCCTTAGAGGGGGTTGTGGGATATCTTTCTTGGATCATTGAGCTAAAGGAACCGGGGGGTTGTTGAATGCAGTGCCGTTCTTGGATCACCTAGCGACTAAATCGCAAATAGTTAGGACAATTTTTTTTTCTAGGTCCAGCAGCATACTGCCGACAGTAATAAAGAAAGAACATGTATGCAAGGCGAACTTTATGGCAGCATTCAGCTCTGTGTTGATCTCAATGTAAACTTCTATATAGTTTGATTTACAGCTCTGCACAGAACGAAAAGGTTTAAATAAAGACTCTTTTGCACCGTCGCTTAGAAAGTAGCGTTTTTCAGTATAGCTTACCAAACTGCAGCCAGCCGGTATTAGATCCTACGACACATTCTTCCGCCTCAGGAGGCAGAGCAACGTTCACCTTGACTTAACCACTTAACCAGCTATCCTTCAAAGATCATGCACCCAGCAGAGCTAGGTGTTTTTCATAATCCGAGGACACCCGTGGTAGTTGTAAGCTCAAGGCTGATTTCAACCACCACCTGCAGTTTGGTAAATGTTTCAATACCACTTGTTTCGTGGTTGAAATCCGCCTTGAGCTTACCACCACCACTAGTGTCCTCGGATCATGAACACCACCTAACAATGCAAGACAAGTCACACGGAGGCTTAAAATTCAAAGTGTATACATACTGAGCTATACACCCCTCCATGTATACACCTACTGTTTGCTCTTGCTGTATACATATCAAAAGTGATGTTCTCGTGGTGTACTCTTCTTCCCCTCCCTCACATTTATTTGTAAATACCTGGAATATACCTGGAGGGGGTTTCAGGGGTCAACGCCCCCGCGACCCGGTCTGTGACCAGGCCTCGCGGTGAATCAGGGCCTGATCAACCATGCCAGGCTGTCATTGCTGGCCGCAATTGTGGTGTTATGCAAATTTTACCACCCTTTTAGATACCTTTTATCAATTCAGTTTACCCACGGCTGTTCCCTTCCCCTCAGGTCAAACTTACCCCGATCGTGACCTTCTTGGGGTAGGTGAGATATTCTGCAATGATGTTGTAGCACTGGTAAGTACCATACCCCACCATCACCGCCAACACTAGGATCCACACAGTGCGGCGGAACCAGCCTCGACTCCTGCAAACTCACATTATTCATATATTCATATATACACCAACATTAGATTGGCGTAGAATAATGATCTTCACAAATCAGAACAAGTGGTATTTAACCCAAACTTCGGAGAGGAAAATTTAGACGACGTTTCGGTCCGGCTTGAACAACTATTAGTCTATTAATCACAACAGTCCTCTCGGTCTGCTTTGGACTTGATAATGATCCTGCAAGGACTGAAACGTTATCGTTTTTGTCTTGCAATTTTTGAGTTATACTTTTGTATGAGTTAGACGTTAACAGCTAGGCTAGCTGACCTACATCATGTAACTTAGTGACTGGGACAAGCGTATATAGACATAATACAAACCAAGGTTTTAAACATTTCACTCAGAATTGCGTTTTACCAGATCTCAGAACTGTATCAAGTTCCAGATTTGATAAGGTTCAATCCTGGGCGAAACGTACGTTTATAGCCACCACGTAACTGTACTCGAGACCCTCAGTGCAGTTCTTTACACTAAATTAAAGTCTCACCAGTATGCACCGTATATGCCATGAGCAGTGCAGGTATCAGCAAACTTTCCAAGTCTGTCTTGTACCCGAATCTCCTGTTCCTGTGCTTTCATCTCTTCGTGTTCCTTCAGTACCGACTCTATCACGTCCCTGAAGATAAAAGAAACATACCACTGAAAGATAAACAGAACAACCTGAGCGTAGTAATATATAAGCCAAACTTTTTAAAGTGGTGGGTGAGTAAGCCAGTGGAGGGCCTCGGTCAGACAACAAAAAGCTCCAGCTGCGGGTCATCATATGACTAAGACCCGCGTCAGGAAACACTTGTCCTCTTTCCTAACAAACCTGACCTAATCTGAGCGCCTTCATGTGCTCACACATTATTCATCTAAATATAGAGTATAAACAAAAATGCTTAGGTGTTCCCGTTTATTTTTTTCAATGTGGCAGTTTTTTATATGTTTGCAGCGACGCATTTTATTGCCATTTCTTCCATCCCTGAAAATATGTTCTGTTTAGGAATATACAAAATATTTTACAATCAGTATTATAACAGGAATCACTATGGGTAGGTTTAAGAGTGTCATTGACACAGTGGCAGCACATGTAATGGATCCAAGAACTAGGTCCTAACATTGTGGTACCCAAGCAGTTTACAGTGGTAATGAATTATTTATAAACTTATAAATTGTTGAATATAATAATAATAATAATAATATTGCTATTTTCATGGAGAAGTGCTAAGCTCGGAGGAATCATACAGCATTTGGGGAATGGAAGGAAGGTTTGATCCAATGAAGTGGAGGAAAGGTCTAATTCCTTGGATCAGGACCCTCCCTCTTCCGCATCAAGGAAGCTCTCTTGAACAGAATATTACTAATGCTACTAATAGTAAAAAACAATAGCTCACAGTACTATTATCTCGACTATTATTCAGTCAGTGAGACAAGATTCAATCATTCACATTCCAACTACACTCAATGACGCAGCTAATTTTAATATTTTTCTTCCAAAATCAATGCACTACTTATAGTCAAGAAAAAAAAAAACGTTTGAGAAATATTTATTAACAACTAGTACCCACGAAAGAGGGTGTCTTGATGCCGGTTAAGGGCTCTTGAACCAGGGAGCCAGAGCTACTTTCCCATTCCTCGGATCTAACCTGCTTAACAACCCCCTTTTCGCTGTGTTAAATTTCAGTATCCCATACAAATGGGCCCTGCTTCGCTTTACAGCGTTTCACTGATGCAGCGGTTTTCAATTATACCCATTCTTCATTTATTTAAATTTTCTACAATATATTCATCACTCACTGTATATGCATTTTTTTTAGGCCTAGCAATATTGCTCACCTGATGTATGGTTGTGTAAACATGTTATCAGACTTTTAATGCATTTTAAAGTGAAAAAAAGGGCTATGTTTCACTTTACAGCGGTATCCCGGAACCTAACCTAAGTGGGCCACTCTTGTATACCTGGAGTATACCCGGAGATAGTTTCGGGGGTCAACGCCCCCGCGGCCCGGTCTGAGATCAGGCCTCGTGGTGGATCAGGGTCAGTCTAATGTTTACTTTTCTTTTCCCTGGCGACACTCGCCCTAGATTACCCACCCTAAATCCTTAATCTACATCTGTCCTTTTTTTTTTTTTCTTTATCAGAGCTGCTAGACAGCTCCATCTTTCTCACTTCACATTCCTTTGCGTCAGGTATTATAACCTCCCTTTATCTTATTTCTCACTGTTTTAATAATCCTTGTCATTTTTTTTTTACCTGAAACAAATTAATTAATCATTGCTTCCTGCACTGTTGATGTACAGGTTTGGTAGTACTGGTGAATGGCTGGTTGACATCAACTCCGAACATAATATTAAATTAATAACGAAGACCATCTATAACATTAGCTCCTCTGATGTGTGTTTTATTAATTTTTCTTTCTTAAATGCATGACTTATTGTTATATTCATAAGAAGCATGAAGCCTAGAAGTATCATTCAGAGCCTTCGTAAGAGTCCTTCACTACAATCTAGGAAGCTCCTTCGAAGGACTTTGTGCATTACATGGCCATCATCTAGAATTTATCTAGAGTGCTTTGTAAACATGACGGCACAACAACTCCCAAATATGTATTTATATCCCTTATTTTCTTTCGGCATTTATTAATTTAATATTACAGCTATTACTCCTTTAGTTCTCGTTTACTCAGATAAATCCCTTTTACTCTCCTCAAAGTCTTCCATCCCGTCTAACTTGTATCACTTTGTGCTAGGATATTCAGCTGTCTTTCATTCATAATATATAATTAGATCTACTGTAGCATCCGTATTACGTTCACGCCCACTCAAACAACCCAACTTCAAAATTCCTTTCTGTTTCGTTAGTACCTTCGTACATAAAAATGGGTGACTAGCTGTTTATTTCCGGCATTTTAATATTCGGCCTCTTCGATACGGCCTGAGAATTTTAACTCATTTTTCCAGGGGAATTAAAAGGAAGTTCTGAGAGTTTACGAAAGTTTGGACTTGGAAGGTCATTAAGAACTCTGGGCAATGAATAAATACAAAAACAGAAAAGCAACCATAACGAATTTGAGAGAGAAAAAAAAAAACTTACTGGTAGAGACAAAACACCATCAATCTAAGTTAGAATAATCCGCAACAATTTAAACCCCCCATTACAGAGGTCCAGGAGCTGGAGGTCAACACCTAGAGGCCCAGGAGTTTTCTTTAACTTGGGGAAACTAGAAAGGAAACCCCTGACAGAATATACATTGTTAAGAAACATACGAGAACGTAACGAGTATAGTTAATATATATCTGTCATCTTGGATGCTCATGAGATGTGATGATCGCTGATAATTATGATAATGAGGATAATGTTACAACGCACCTCAAATACTGGTCCTGCATGGTAACCTGAGAGTCCTCCACCGGCGGCAGGGAACACTTCTTTCCCTCAAGAAAAAGCATCCTTGTTGTCACGATTTGGGCACAGTTTGCGTCTGTCTCTCTCTTGACGTATATCTGGGAAATTCTGGGTATCTTCCTGAGCTTCTCTTGACGATGATGCTACTGAATCGTTTCGTTCATTTCTGAGCGAATCCTTTGAACCATCTTGTCTCAGTCAGCCTACTAGTTCATGTCGTTTCTCTAAGCGAAGCTAGTGAATTGTTCCCCACTTTGCGAAGATTTCTAAATGATGTTCTGCTTCTGGTTCTTGCTGAAACTGGTATATTACTCCGTGATGTTCTAGCAGTGGGAATATTCTCGTGAGATGCACTGCCTCTCACCGAACTATATTGAAGGGGTCTGACCTCTGTTGACACTGCTTCAGAGAAACTCATAAACTATCGTGAGTTTAACTGTACCACCACTGTATAACCTGGGTTATTGCTTATAATTATGAGTAGGGGTAAACCCGTGTGGGTCAGTGAGCAATGTACGACCAGGAGTGAGAGCTGGTGTGCTGCCTGGGATGGTTGAGGTGTGTGTGTGGGGGGCAACGTGTCCAGTACTCTCAATTATAACCAAGTTGCTTAGTTGCTCGTCCTAAACACTTCGTTACTACCTCACTGTAACCTCGACCTGTGTCGCCTAGCAACGACCTGTGTCACCCAACCCAAACCTGTGTCGCCCAACCCCGACCTGTGTCGCCCAGCAACGACCTGTGTCGGTCAACCCCGACCTGTGTCGCCCAACCCCGACCTGTGCCGCCAGCCCCTACCTGTGTCGCCCAACGCCGACCTGTGTCGCCCAACCCCCAACTTCTGTCGCCCAACCCCTACCTGTGTCGCCCAACCCCGACCTCTGTCGCCCAGCAACGACCTGTCACCCAACCCCCGACCTGTGTCTCCCAGCCCCGACCTGTGTCGCCCAACCCCGACCTGTGGCACCCAACCCCGACCTGTGTCACTCAGCCCCGACCTGTGTCACCCAGCCCCGACCTGTGTCGCCCAACCCCGACCTATGTCACCCAGCCCCGACCTGTCACTCTCCCTCACCAGGCACCAGGCCCCCGTCCTGTGTCACCCCCTAGCCAGCACCGACTTGAGTCCCCCTTACCTACGCAGCACCGCCCTGAGTCACCCGCCTTACTCAGCCACGAATTACTCAGCCACAAGGCATCCGTACGAGGACACGGAGAAATGAAAGGTACCTCCAGTTCCTCAGATCACGAACCCTTCAGTGGCACCAAGGCACCCTCTTGAAGTGAATTTATGTCCAGTAAAAGTGAAATATGCTGTGACAAATTTAATAAGTATGTATATACCCAGAGTTTATGAGAAATGTTAAAAGCTTGCGTGACTTAAGCTTGTTATATACTATTGGGTAATTTAACTTAGTAGGTAGTATGTTATATTGACAGTCTTCTCTCGAAGGTAGATTGTGTTGGTTAGGCTGCTATGGCAACCCACGACATTATTAGGTATCCCCGATTGCTGTTATGGCATTCCACATCATTATTATGTATCAACGAAGTCTGCTGTGTCAACCCACGACATCATTAGGTATCCCAGGAAGCTGTTATGGCAACCAACATTGTTAGGTATCCTCGAAAAAAATGTCTCATCTGATCGGCTTCAAATTTTCAAAGTTGGTTGACTGTAATGAAAGGTTGGTGCAGTTATCAGCACGCTAAAATCAATTTCATATAGACCATTCATTCCCAGTTTTGGTTTCCATGTGGTAAATTGTTACTGCAGTGTGTAGGCGCCAACGTACGAATTTAATTTTAAAAAGGTTAGGTTAGGTAAGGTAAGATTTGTCAGGAAACAGGACAAGTGTTTCCTGACGCGGGTCTTAGTTATATGACCCGCAGCTGGAGCTTTTGGTCATCAAACTGAAACCTTCCACTGCCTTACCCCTCCACCTCTTTAAAAATTATGATTATGATTATAATCATTTCTTAATGATGTTCGTCGCATTAGCAAATTAAATTATTTGTACAGTACACAAGGAAAACAGATACTAACGAAAAAATATATTTGACCTTCATCACATGTCTTTATGTAATTATGGGTTCTTATCTTTCCCAAACATCCTTACAGTATGTAAAGTAAAAGGACACAAGTGCAACTACCATATTGTATTTCTTTTGTCACTACCACTACTACTACTACTACTACTACTACTACCACTAGTGAACATCGAAATGGTACCTCACTAGTATTCACCTCACTCTGAGCCTTTATATACCCTCTGTGTCCATGTATTGTTTGTAATGGCTTGATAAAGCTCCTGGAGAGCGTAACGTTGCCACAATAAATGTCACATTAGTTGCACTTGTGTCCTTTTACTTTACATATTGTCGGTAATTCTACCAACTTTATTACAATCCTTACAGTAGCCATAGGGCATAGAATAGCGTCAAGAGTTCAGAAATCATCAGGGAGGCGCTGGGAGGAACTGCCATGTTGAGAATGATAGGAGGCTCAACGAAAATACACAAAAATATTCGTATGGTAAATTTGTTTACTGTTCTTTCAATGCGTGTTTGTGTCTGATTAATGGGCCATTCGTGGCTCAGCACCTGCTGAAGATTTCAGAACTAATATATTATTTACATAGCGAGTTCGTCTTTCGACACCGTTGATCCTCAAACAATTGACCTGGTTGTAGCTGGGGAGTCGATCCTACGTACGCCATAGTTTGACTGACACATGGTAAGATAAGAGATAAGATTTTGTTCGTATTTTTAACCCCAAAGGATTAGGCCCCAAGATAACCCAGGAAAGGTAGTGCGTCATCAAGGAACTGTCTTATTTCCATTGGGGTACTGACATAAATAGTCAAGAAACAGACTCTAAAGCATATCTTCATTCTGACCACGTTTCGCTCAATGTTGAATTTTGTTGAATTTAAGTGTACAGTCTCCAGGCTGTGTGCCTGGCCTTTGCGTGGGAATTACAAGTTACTGTGTACAGTCTCCAGGCTATGTGCCTGGCCTTTGCCAGTTAATCTAAATTTAGAAAGTAATCCCTGAATTGAAAATGGAATCCAAGACCATTCTATCAGCTCTTCCTTGTTAATAATAGTTTTTTTTTTATATTTTATTGAGAGCATATCTTGTACAGACAAACATAATACATATATATAGAATAGACATACTGAGAACAATAAGTACATAAAGAAAATATCACACACACACACGTTGTTGTACACAGGAGAAGAAACCCGAGACAGAAAAACGATAAAATTTACAAGCACACTACACACCACTCAAGCAACCTGTCGTTATGTATATATGAAAAACACTTAACATTGTCATGTCTCACTTCAACATAAGTGTGACGTGCAGCGGACCAAAACAACAGTACTCTTGTAGAGTTAAGTAAAGAAGACATCACACATATATATTAATGTAACAAGAAAAACACATTCCTAGTAACTACCCCTATCCTGGGGTTAAATCATACAGAAGTATCTGTATCCTCCGGAGCTACACACACCTCCGCCAAACACACTGGCCAATTACTGAATTAACATGTCGTTGTACTCATACAATTGATATATCATATAAGATTAGATATGCTATCAACAAATTCAATATCACAGCACAGGCTTCTGTAACCTAATGCGAACACGTAAATAAACTACCCTATCACAACCTATTCACTGCACAAAGGTCATTGTACTTAATAACAAAGTGGAGCTACTATGACCAGCCACGTTCTACTTCTCGCCCACAAAAATACTCGGGTAAGGGGAACATATATGAATATTATATAGACTCCCTCACACAGTGTATGTACAAACCTCTCAGTGTATGTACACTGAGAGGTGTGTATCAGTGTATGTACACTGAGGTGTGTATCAGTGTATGTACACTGAGAGGTGTGTATCAGTGTATGTACACTGAGAGATGTGTATCAGTGTATGTACACTGAGAGGTGTGTATCAATGTACACTGAGAGGTATGTATCAGTGTATGTACACTGAGAGGTGTGTATCAATGTACACTGAGAGGTGTGTATCAGTGTATGTACACTGAGAGGTGTGTATCAGTGTATGTACACTGAGAGGTGTGTATCAGTGTATGTACACCGAGAGGTGTGTATCAGTGTATGTACACTGAGAGGTGTGTATCAATGTACACTGAGAGGTGTGTATCAGTGTATGTACACTGAGAGGTGTGTATCAGTGTATGTACACTGAGAGGTGTGTATCAGTGTATGTACACTGAGAGGTGTGTATCAGTGTATGTACACTGAGAGGTGTGTATAAGTGTATGTACACTGAGAGGTGTGTATCAGTGTATGTACACTGAGAGGTGTGTATCAGTGTATGTACACTGAGAGGTGTGTATCAATGCACACTGAGAGGTGTGTATCAGTGTATGTACACTGAGAGGTGTGTATCAGTGTATGTACACTGAGAGATGTGTATCAGTATGTACACTGAGAGATGTGTATCAGTATGTACACTGAGAGGTGTGTATCAGTGTATGTACACTGAGAGGTGTGTATCAGTGTATGTACACTGAGAGATGTGTATCAGTATGTACACTGAGAGATTGTGTATCAGTATGTACACTGAGAGATGTGTATCAGTGTATGTACACTGAGAGGTGTGTATCAGTGTATGTACACTGAGAGATGTGTATAAGTGTATGTACACTGAGAGATGTGTATCAATGTACACTGAGAGATGTGTATCAGTGTATGTACACTGAGAGGTGTGTATCAGTGAATGTACACTGAGAGGTGTGTATCAGTGTATGTACACTGAGAGATGTGTATAAGTGTATGTACACTGAGAGATGTGTATCAATGTACACTGAGAGATGTGTATCAGTGTATGTACACTGAGAGGTGTGTATCAATGTACACTGAGAGATGTGTATAAGTGTATGTACACTGAGAGATGTGTATCAATGTACACTGAGAGATGTGTATCAGTGTATGTACACTGAGAGGTGTGTATCAGTGAATGTACACTGAGAGGTGTGTATCAGTGTATGTACACTGAGAGATGTGTATCAGTGTATGTACACTGAGAGATGTGTATCAGTATGTACACTGAGAGATGTGTATCAGTATGTACACTGAGAGGTGTGTATCAGTGTATGTACACTGAGAGGTGTGTATCAGTGAATGTACACTGAGAGGTGTGTATCAGTGAATGTACACTGAGAGGTGTGTATCAGTGAATGTACACTGAGAGGTGTGTATCAGTGAATGTACACTGAGAGGTGTGTATCAGTGAATGTACACTGAGAGATGTGTATCAGTGTATGTACACTGAGAGATGTGTATCAGTATGTACACTGAGAGGTGTGTATCAGTATGTACACTGAGAGGTGTGTATCAGTGTATGTACACTGAGAGATGTGTATCAGTGAATGTACACTGAGAGGTGTGTATCAGTGAATGTACACTGAGAGGTGTGTATCAGTGAATGTACACTGAGAGGTGTGTATCAGTGAATGTACACTGAGAGGTGTGTATCAGTATGTACACTGAGAGATGTGTATCAGTGTATG